TAACTAACATACCCGTGTGCATGTAAAAACAATGTAGAAAGTCCTTCGTCTCTGGGCGCGGAAGGCCGTCCCGGCAGCATGGGCACGTCTCTGCCAGGGTCTGGCTCAGGGGGACTCGCTGGGCAGAGCTCACGGGGGAAGCAGGAGGCTGCAGCCCAGAGGTTCAGTCCAAGGCGGTGAGGCCGCGTGGCCGAGCCTGGCGGGAGGGAGACCCCAGGGGGTCTGGCACATGGACGGGATTTCCCGGGACTCCGATACCAGCCCTCGCTAGAGCTGACCCCTGCTCTCAGGGCCCCTCCGGCCGCCGGGCTCTAAACTCACCCAGGTTTTAACCTTCCTCGGGTCAGGGTTTCAGACCCCGGCTCTGGACTCTCCCCTTTGTCCCCACTTGGCTAACGCCCGGTGCCCAGAGCTGCCCCCGGCATTCCAGCTGGGCCTGCCCAGCGCACGTGGAACAGCTCCCGCCCGTGTCTCACATACAGCGCTGCTGCTCACCCCCCCAGCCGAGAGCCGCCTGTCCCACGACCGCGGCCCGTCCGCGCCTGCCCCGCTCTGCCCACAGACCCTGCACCTGTGCCAAGAGAAGCCCCCTGCCCCTCACTCACCGATGATGTCGGCCACGCCCAGGCCCAGGCCCAGGGGGGTGCTGCCGGGGGGCAGCTCTGTGTCTCGCAGCAGCAGCAGGATCTGCTCCGGCCGGACCTGCAGCCTCCCGGCCATGTGCTCCACCACCGCCTGCAGGGGCTGTGACTGCGCCGGGGGAGGGGACAGTCAGGGAGGGACAGGGGGACAGCCCGGCTCAGCCTGGCAGCCTGCTGGGCTGTTCGGGGCCAGCGTGAGCCAGGCAGCAGGGCTGGCACGGCCGGTGCCAATCGCCTGGTACATTCGCCACCGAGTGACTCCAGCTGGGCCCATACAGTCCCTGGGCCATTTCCGAGAGATCCAGTGTCGGGCAGTTCCGCCGCCCCCTGCAATCAGTCTTAATCCCACCCCGTCCTCCCAGCTCTACACTGGAGGGGTGAACCAGCCCCTTGACACCCTTCCTCCACCTGGCCGCTGTCCTGCCCCGGCACCTCCCATGCCCTACCCACACCCGCCTGAGCGGTGCGCTCTGATCTGCGCTCTGCCTTCCCCGAGATCCTCCACCCCGCAAGGGCATGGCCAGGGTCTGCACGCTGGGGCAGGGGCTAGCTCAGAGCCCGGCTGTGGGGGCAGGGTTGGAGATACAGTGTCTGCGGGGGGGAAAGGTTTTGGGGCTGGGCGGTGGCATGGGGGATATATACAGCCTGCACAGGGGCCCGGCACACATTGAGGGGATGGGGGGCTCACTCTCCAGCCACATGGGGATGTGGAAAAGCTGAGAGGTGGGAGTGCAGGGGGTGGGTCACTCACCATCTCCATGGCGACGCGGTGGATCTCGGCCCGGCACCGCACCTTGAGCTGCAGCTGCCGGGGCGCGGGGGACGGGGGCGACTCCACCAGGATCACGTCGTCCTCGGGCAGCTCCTCCCGCAGGCTGCGCTGAGCGGCCGAGAGCCACGTGCTGAGACCCCGCAGCTGGCGTGCCACCTCCCTGGGGGGGCAGGGCCGTCAGACCCCCACAGACCCCTGTGCCCCACAGACCCCACACACCCCTCCCTGGGGGGCAGGGCCGTCAGACCCCCACAGACCCCTGTGCCCCACAGACCCCACACACACCCCTCCCTGGGGGGCAGGGCCGTCAGACCCCCACAGACCCCTGTGCCCCACAGACCCCACACACACCCCTCCCTGGG